AAGATTAACCATGATTAAGATATTTATAGAACAGGATATGTGACTGAGGTTTTACTTTTGACAGAGCATTCACCTTTGAACATATAACAGTGCTCTCATCGTGATGTAGTTGTACATTCATGTTGGTGAGCCCACATCCAAGCCCTATGTACATCATCATGTTTTGCTGTGGTAATTGTTTTATGAGTCCCTGGTAACCATGGAAAGACATTAGCTAGTGTTATTAGTTAGTGACACTAACTAATGATAGTATAAACACACACACACACATAAACACACACATATACACACACCTCTCTTTGAGGCTCTTCTTTTGGTCAGCATTTAGATGTGTTACAGATATCTTCAGTGTATTTGACCATTTTGAAGAAATATTTACGTATTTATGTATGACTCTCAAAGTTAACTTTTACTCTATTCAACTCCATTCCTTCCAAATCTGTGAATATTTTGTCAAGCCAAAATTCTCAGCCAATGGATGGACACACATACGTATAGATTGTTATAACAGCAATATTTTACCAATTAACCAATCATACTAATGATTTTAAAATGGAAAATATGGAATAAAATGCAAGATCAAGCCGAAGGAGAGGAGTACTGAACATCAGAAATCAGTATAATCAAAATGTAAAAAATAAGTACAGTCAACAGTGAAACAATCTGGTACCTGACCTACTTTTGTATTTATTTCACACTTACTAATTCTTTTACTACACTTACTTCTATGTCAATAGAATATACTACATTTTGTTAGTCATTTTGAAATCATTTTACAAATCTTTGTGATAATAGTGTAGGATTTTTCTATTTTCTAACCTGCCCAATTTCTAAGCATGAATTTGCTCATATCATCTTATTCTTTTTAAAGAATGGCAGCAGGAACATGTTTTGGATCCAAACACATTGCCTGAACCTAAAATGCATGTTTTAAGAAAAGAAAATGAGGTTAGATTTGATGATTTACTCTGGTAATTATGCATGAAATGCAGTGATGAGTCTTTCAGAGGCTAGTTTATGAAGGCAAGAATGAGGATGAGAGACAGTGAGAGAGATGTGAGATGAGAGTCTGATCAAGGTTTTGTGTGTGTGTATATATGTGTGTGTGTATATATATGAGTAGATAATAAATTTATATATATATCAATATATAATATACAGTTTATACACACATATATACAATAGATAAGAAATATATATAAACAATTGATATATAATATATACAGCATATATACAATTTATACACTTATATATAATATATACACTACATGTATATATATATATATGTTAAATGAAACTCCTTTGTAAAAGTAATTGATGTTAATTTAGAAATGAAAATTAAAATCAAACTCCAGTGACAGGAATTTGTGAAATCACCTATGTGGGAGACATGGATAAGAGAATGGCCAATAGCTGGGCCCCCACTAAAATACATTATTCTATCTGAAAAAATAATTAAAGCAAAGGCCTGTGGGTGTGCAAGAAATGATAGAGCAATGGCTTGCCAAGGGCAAGGGTCCAAGTTTCAAAACCAGTTCCATTTTTCCAGTGTGGACTGACAGGGGAAAAATAAGATTTACATTGAAGAGAACACTCTTAGGAATCCTGCACACATAGAAATTTTGCCTGTTTAGAGATTATGTATTCTGAACTTGTCAATATTTATATCGCTCAGTAATTACAACTTAAAATTTTTAAATTTAAATGTGTAGATATTTTTACTTTATTTTTGTTTGGATTAACCTACTTTTTGGTAGAAATAATAATTGTCTTCAGTTAAAATGTGACAGGCCCCAGAGATTCAGGCCTTTAGTCCTAACTACTCAGGAAATTGAGATCTGAGGATAATAGTCTAAGCCAGCCCAGGAAGAAAAATCCCATGACACTCCAACTAAGCAGCAAAAAGCCAGAAGTAGATGTGTGGCTCAAGTGGTAGACGGCCAACTTTAATTAAAAAAAGACAAGCAGGACTGTAAAACCCCAGTTCAAGCACCAGGACAGGCATATATTAATAAGTGACATAAGATAGAATTTTTATCTCCATGGTAGAGAATACTTCATACTTGTAGGGAATATTTACTACAATGTTTTGGCTTCTATTTCAATAATGATAAACCCTTAACTTTTGAAAAACAAAGTTCTTCATATTTTTATCTTTCACTGAAATCATGCATTAGCATTCAGTAAATTCAGAGAAGATGAAGTAATTTGTACACATATCAGATTTAGTATTTTCATTTTTAGCATCAGAAATAAAATAAAATTAGAGAAAAAAGTGCAAAGAATCTTTTGTGGTTATTTTCCTTAAATTCAAAATATTCAGTGCTCTTATATTGCTTTAGTATTCTGCAATTTTTGATTAAGTGAGAGGAAATTATAAATTCCTTCAAAAAATAATGGGCTAATATATTAAAGATAATTTCCTGACACCAATGACTCATTCCTGTAATCTTAGTTATTCAGAAGACTGAGATGTAGAGGATCACAGTTCGAGGCCAATTTGTGTAGAAAAATCATTAACTAACCAGAAAGCAGCCACATTGGAAATATGGCTCAGGTGAAAAAGTGCCAAGTAGGAAACAAGCCAAGGAAACGTATGATCCTGAGTTAAAAATCAGGTACTAGATAATCGAGATTAAAGTGTATAGAAATCTAATTATATATTAAAAGAGCAAAGCATTACATGTTCATTATTGAAGTGGTTATGCCACCTTGCTATGATTAAGCAACCTTTTGTGTATTTAAAACTAAGATCCATAATAAAGAAATCTGAAAATATTAGGGAAGTGTTAATATGTTAACATTTTAAAATGTTAAAACCTTTCACTTTTTCTTTAGTGACATCCCTTGTAGAATATAACAGTCAAGGTTATCTTCTTTAAATTTTTTATGCTCAGTATTATTTCTGAAATTTATTATGAATTTCAGCACTGTTTATTTTGATGATAAATGCTTAATTCACTTCACATTTTTCATGAGGTATACCTATCCAAACATTAGATATTTGAATAAAAACAAAAGCTGTTATATTTCACTGTATTACCCAGTGATTTTCTTTCCTAGAGATACAAAGAAATGTTTTCAACAATGACCCAAACTCAGAAAGCCCAGGAAGATTGCTAGTGTTGCTAAAGGGAAAACTTATGACAATATTGTGTTGAGAATGTAAGAACAATTGACATGGATTGAAGTAATAACAACATGTTACTATTTTGCTTTTAGCTTTCTTTAATATTTACAATAACATTCATATTTAATCTTTATAATATTCAATATTTACAATATTAGTTCATTTTATGAATGAAAAGCTAAAACTCCTTTGATGAAAGTAAAGAAGTACAACACCCACATGTGTGCATTAAGTGGTAGAGCACTTGCCACCCATTCACATGACCCTTAGTTCAAACACCGCCATCACTTTCTCAGTGGTGTAGATCAGTGTGAATTAAGAAAAATAAAGTACAGATAGCAATCTGCGTTGACTTAAGGGTCTTAAATGTAAGAACTTGCTGGAGTTTGCCTTTTTTGTTCAAGAAAATAAGATTAAACTTGTGAGCAGTATTTCACTGCAATCTCCCTGGTTGTGAGTGGGCATGTATGTCAGTGAGGAGTTGAAGAGAATGACGGATCTTCAGACACAGCTCACTTTTGACAATTGAACCAGAATGTTTACAAAATGTACGCAATGCCCTCACCATTGAATTGATACACCAGAGATGATCATCCCTAGGAGATGACCGGCCCCAAGGGGAGACTGATGACTTAAGAACCAAAGATAGTTGAAGCAAGTATAAAACCTGTAGAATGAGAGTGAGCTACTGGAGTCAAAGAAATTACACTTCTAAAATTAAATCTCATAACCCACTTGACTAACATTCTTTTGGACTGCTTCATGCAAATTCATGAAGGTAAGCTATTTGGCTGATCTTATAAAGGTTGCAAAGAAATCATGAAACTGTTCTTTATCTGAAAATGAGAGAATTATCTATACATTTTTATGCTCTTAACATTTTTAACTACAAAGTTAGCTACTATTAGTCATGTGTGAAAGAATGATAATGGCAGTAATGATGACAATCATTTATAATAAATTTGAAAATTATGCTAGAAATGTGGAAATAGGGATGCTTAAAAACATTCATCATTGCAGATATTAAGTGAAAAGCATGTGCTGAGTAGACGGTAAACACACAAAAAAGAAGAAAATACATATCTGGTTTGGACAGTGGGGAACATACACTGAGAAATTGTTATAGGAATCGTCAAGCTGATCTTACTTCTGCATATTGGATGAAACTAAATAAACTAGGGAGAGGAGCAAAAAAAAAAACAACTAGACTGACTTTTTGGCTTGGTTTATATTTTATTCTGCTAATATGCTATGTCCATGTGAGTTTAATAGAAAAGTTAAAGATCACCATCTTGGGATACATGTTCTCACATTTATCATGAAGTTTTGGAGATATATAGAAGATAAAGCAATTCTATTTGCTCTACCTATTTCCTCACAAAAAACAAATTGATTTAGGGAATTAATTCTCATCTGAAATATCAAAAAGCACACTTAAAATTTATTTCCCAAAAGAGAGGAAGTAAAGTTGAAGGGAAAGGCTCAGTATTGTAAAAGAGTGTATACTGGATACCATGAAGAGAAAAAGAGTATAATATGACCAAAGAAAAGCTGCTTACATGATTTCAAACAAAAGAATGAAATAATCAGTTCTTATTATGCACAAATATGCTTTGAAATAAAATAACAATTTGCATTTCTCAATACTTTTAGCAGCATTACGATAACTTTATGGAACACAATGAATAGTATATACAATAAATCACACATAATAAATACGATTTAGTATAGTAAATATTTTACTTACATTTTAGTTCAGAGAAATAGTGATCAACATAAATGAAGAGAATGTAAATATATCCACACACCTGAGTCTGATACTACACTAGGGCCACAGAATTGTAAAGTTGAACTAATTATCAATCTTGAATTCACCCCACCTGCAGATGGAGAGACAATTAAAACAGAAAGATCCAATACCACTGCAATGATGGAATTTGTTCTCGTGGGGTTTTCTGATAGTCCCCATCTCCAGTGGGTTCTCTTTGCGGTGTTTTTGCTCATGTATGTGACCATTCTGATATGCAACAGTATCATCATTTTACTAATTAGATATGACCCTCACATTCAGACACCCATGTATTTTTTCCTGAGCCATTTTTCCTTTTTGGATATCTGTTATGTGACCGTCACCATCCCAAGAATGCTCATGGATATTTTTTCCCAAAAAGGAAACATCTCTCTGCTTTCCTGCGCAGCACAAATGTTCTTTGTCCTTGTTCTTGGGGGTACAGAGTGTCTCCTGCTGACAGCCATGGCCTATGACCGCTATGTGGCCATCTGCCACCCTCTGAACTACACTCTGGTCATGAACCACAAGGTGTGCGTGCAGCTGGTGGCGGCCTCTTGGATCAGTGGAATTCCGGTTGAAATCGGACAAACCTACCAGATTTTCTCTTTGCCTTTCTGTGGGTCTAACAGGATCAATCACTTCTTCTGTGACATCCCTCCGCTACTCAGTCTTGCTTGTGGGGACACGCTGCTGAATGAGATCGCTGTCTACATCGTGGCGGTGGTGTTTGTCATGCTACCCTTTCTGCTCATCATTGCCTCTTACACTAAAATCGTCTCCAACATCCTGAAGATAGCCTCAGCCAGAGGGAGGGTGAAAGCCTTCTCCACTTGCTCATCACACTTGACAGTTGTGGTCCTATTCTATGGGACAGCCAGTATCACTTACTTACAACCCAAAAGGAATCAGTCTGAAGGGATAGGGAAGCTGCTGTCTCTTTTTTACACCATTTTGACCCCAACTTTGAATCCCGTTATTTACACCCTGAGGAACAAGGATATCGTGCAGGCACTGAGGAAAGTGCTAGGGAAGTTATAAAGAAAGGACTGATGCTTGAAGCTCGACCTCCTTCAAGGTTTCTCACATAGCCAAAGCAGAAAACGGAGCAGAGTTCCTACGACCTTCAAGAATTTTAACCACAACCAAGGTCTTCTGAATGGAGAGTTGTTCTGCGGGGATTAGTTAAGGGCTCCCAGTAGAGTCAGAATACAAATTAAGTCACTTTTTTCAATTTATCATTTTTAAGTCATTGTTATCAAGGAGTGTCATTTCAACAAATCAGCTCATCAGTACAATTTAACTTTATCAGGGCCACCCCCTCCAAGTTCTCCCCCAACATTTTCTATCGTCTTTTTTGAGTCAATCTTTCCATTCTGGCTAATGGACACAATCACAGTGGCTATTATGGTCTTGTTATATGTCCTCTTTCTTCCTAGCATTTGCTTAGATCCTATGTTTGGATTTAGCCAATAAAAAAGTGTGAAGTGTAACGTTAGCTAAAATAAGGATAACAGGCCAGACTTGTTTTACTTTTCTTTTTATGAAGTTCTGTTCCTTTTTTACTATTTTTTTATATTTTCCAATTTCCACCTCTGCCTTTACTCTTGTCCACTTAAAGCTACAAATCCTCAATGTGTTTGATCTTCTATTATTCCTGACCTCACCATTTTCTTGCCATTTCAAATCTCCTATTGATACCTTTTGGTAATATCTATTTAGCCTTTGAAATCTACAATATTCACCATATACCATATAAAGCATTGGTTAATGGATGAAATTCTGATTCTTCAAGTGTATATGTATATATGTATATGTATATATATAGTATATATGTATATAAAACATATGTATTTATGTACATATAGTATATATGTATATAATATAAATACATATATATACATATATACATGTATGAATATGCATATATAGTATATGTACTATATATATATTCTGCATTCTGAAAATAGAAATCTAATATTTGAAAGGAAAAAATATATGTAACTATATTTAAGTACAATTTTAAAATAAGTTCACCAAGGCTTTTACTCATAATATAATAGACAAATGTTATGAAATAGGCACTCTCAAAACCATATGCAAAAACAGGGTGATTCTATCACAGACTAAAAAAAACCAAGAGCTAACAACTGGGAAAAATTGGAAGGATCCATATTGCTATAAAACCATCAATGCTTATGGCTTCCTTGATACCATGATTTTGTCACTGGCTCAGAGAACAATCAGTGATAATCTTCAATGATGTTAGTTCATCCAATTTGTGGTTAATTTGTTAAAGTAAATGTAGCAAAAATAATTAGCCATGGAAAATATCCTCTCATAAAAATCTTGGATTCCAATGATCCATAATAAATTTAGTGTCATACTTGGCTAAGTTCATATGTCAAGCTTTGTTATTTGTTTCATTTTGGATGAATAATTTGACATTTGTTTCTTCTGATACAAAACAAAATTCATATATTGTATACTTTAATTCTTTATAAATATAAATAAGTTGTATTTCTGGTTTCGGGAAGTCTTTTAAAGGAGTTTTTGTCTCTGTTCTTAAGAAAAGTAACTCCATAGTGAATTAGAATAGGTTAAAGTACTCAAGTTCATAAGCACCTTCCCAAACTGCTCACCCACCCAGGAAAAATATGATCTTAGTAGTACTACTGGGGAAATTTCCACTATCCCCAAAGCTAAGAAAATATACATACCAAAATATCAATGAAGTTAATAGAATAAATATCACAGAACATATCTAAGTTACTTATAAATGAAACACATTTTACTATATATGTACAGGTATCATTAAAATGAAGGAAAAATAAACATAGTCCATGGTAAATTGTAGTGTTTTCATCTGAAGAAATCAACTAGACTAAAGGAGTGCTTTCACAAAACATTTTATTTAACACAGAGATGGTTCAGAGAGACAATGAAAAGTTTGATCCAAACATCAGGGATTGGAGTTGAACTCAACACCGCATTTGAAGTGTTTCCTTTGTTCCCAGCATGCAAACCTGCATCCTTTGATAAAACTCTCTATTTGGAATGTTCGGAGATTAAGAAGGATTAAGGGGAAGTCTAAACTCTCTAGTTCACATAAAAGTTGGATTGTTCCTTCTTTTGTATTTTCTTATACTAAATGCATTTTGATGTTCTTAGATAAAAAATAAAACATGTCAACTGGCAAAATTCTATGTATGGCTAGCTTGGGGAGAAAATTTGTTGAGTGAATAGAGGTGCATGCTTATACAATGTTCATGTTAAGCATATTGATGTAGATGTTTTGTGATTTAAATATTACATTTGCATACTAATTATATTTAGTAGAACCAATGTAGAAGAAATATCATACTCTCAGTTATGAATTGTAACACATCATGTGTAGGTGGGTTCTGGAAGAGATGTTTTATAGTGTAGGCTATATGTATAATTCTGTAACATCAATAGAGTGAGGTATCTAGCTTTTCTTAAATATTTACTAGGGATAATAGGTGATGTGATTTTCAACATTATGGTAAATAAGTGACTCAATGGTGTCCCTAATCAGTGTATTAAACCAAAGTACTGTACCAGTAATCATCATAAACTTACAAGTCAGTTTTAAAAATACCATCTAGATGGCACCAGTGGCTCACACCTGTAATCTTAGAAATTTGGGATTCTGAGATCATGGTTTGAATCCAACCCAGACAGGAAAGTCCATGAACCTCTTATCTCCAATTAAGCATGGGAAATTCACAAGTGGATCTGTGGCTTAAAGTGGTAGAGCACTAGCCATGAGCATAACAGTTCAGGGACACTCCCCCAGGCCCCAAGATAAAGCCCCACAACCACCATCACCACTAACAAGAAAGCTAACCAATAATAAAGAGAAACTGTCTGGTTAAGTAGTTACGGAAGAAAAATGTCCAAGAGTAAGAAGATATCCATTTATTGTTTTGGTAAATAAGATATTACACAAATTAAAATGATGATAACTGCCTTTAACCACAGAAATTTGCCAAAATTAGAAAACCCATCATTTCAAACATTGACAAGCACAAGGACTACCTTGCAATAACCTCGTATCTGTAGATAGTACAGCTACTGTGAGGAACAATCTATACAATAAATATACAAACACCCAATCATTGAGCTGCAAGCACCATGTTTGCCTTTTATTAATAATGAGATTACGTGTTTTTAAAAGAAGACACATGTAGCAAGCAGACAACAAATGAAATGAGTTCATGTATTTACAGAAAAATAAAAAGTATACAAGAATGAAAACTGAAATTATTAAAGTTCATAAATCAATATAATATATCTGGTGACTAAAACGGCAATGGACAAATAGCAATTTCAGATTAAATAAATATGTATGGGGATTGTTTTGCTCTATTCATCTAAAGAATAAAAAAAATTTGAAACACCAATTCATGCATGTGTAGTATACATGTACAGATGCTTCTTTGTATCACATTATTTTAACAATGAAGTGTAACAACTATTTATATCATACTTGTATTTCATAAAGTATTAATAGTGATTATAAGTAGATGCAGATTTTGGGCTACTGTCATTAGGCTATAATTTTTTATCTCTCCACACACCAAGAAATGGCTAAATTAGGAAAAGGATATTCAGAGAAACATTTGTTTTAAATAATCATGGGAAAAATATGCTTTTGAGATGGCTTGTATTTTCAGTCTGCTTTGTCACTTTCCCCAGACCTGGGTAATAGTATGATGAATTTTTAATATTTGCAGAGCTTTATCAGAAGGCACTATGTTTTTATTTTAATCAAAGCTAACTCAGGAACAAAAAGGGCTAATTTTGTGATGAACATTCACCACCCTAAATATTAAAGATGAGAACATGACATATATGTGTACCTCAACATGTATGCCACATTTCTACTTCTCTATGTATGAATTTAAAAAAAATTAGTAGAAAGGAATTCCATATAAATGGAAGGGCCTAGGTTGTTATAGCTAGAACGATTGTCAATGTTTTCTTGTAATTAATACTAGACAGTAAGTAAGTGATAATTCAATGCCCCTCCAATAGTATCTGCTTATACCACAATGAGTATTGAAGAAAAGGGTGGATCTACTGCTTCTTGTTTGAGATAGACAAATAGATAAAGAGTTCATAAATGTTGTCATAATATTCAATGAACACTTGTGAAAATGGAATCGTGTAACTTCAGGGACGTGTGAGTTGAGAGATGGGGAAGAATGATGGATGGAGTGACATTGCTCAAGATACATATTTCTCCCAAACTGTCATGATTAATGAAAGCCCTTGGTACAGATCCTTTAAGAGAATAAAAATAAGTAATAAAAAATAAAAGGTATGGGAGAAAAAAAGAAAGTGAACAGAATAATTGCCATTGCAACCTGTATTTTAGAAATTAAATTGGAACATGAGGTGAAATCCCCCCTATTTTAAGAGAAGTTGGTGTTAGAAACAAACATAATTATTGCATGGTCTAAGCAACTTCCTGAGAGGAGTTTAAAAAATTATAGGCCAGAACAAAGACATTTTTTATGGAAATCTGTCAAGGTAAGATATAATTGTACAGTGGAACTACTTTACTTTAGGATATTTCTAAACTCAAGAACAAAATCTATCAATGAATTGGAAATGCTGAGCATTTAATATCATTGTTGTATCTAATTGTATTTTCAGCTACAAACCTAAATGATATTTCACCTCTATGATAATGGCATTACTAATAAATTGATATAGAAATACAGAATTATGAAAATATTTGTAAATTTTTGCTTATCATGTTACTAATCCAAAAGCATTCACTGATGGGGCTAAATGGTGGGCAGGTGTCATAGAGGTTTAGATAAAAGGAAAGAATTTTGGTGAAAAAGCATTCAGATTATATTTGGGGCTTATCTATAAGTGACTAATTTTGAATGATTTTTCTGTGAAGAATTACAAGACTATAATATTGACTTCATGTTATTAGTCTCATTGTTTTCACTGGAAACTAGTATAATCACCTTAAACCATATTTATGGGAAGCTAGAGAA